CAAGACGTCAGAGAACGCTCCCAGAGCAAGTTGTTTTCCACGAGTCGCCTGGGCGCTCTCCTAATGCAGCCAAGAGGCCAGGGAAGCGGGCGAAGGAGCAGGTGGGGACAGAGGGGACAGCCGGGAGCTCTGTTATGGCCTCGCTCCCACAAAGGGCGCTTGGTTCGTGCAGCGCCACGCTTGCCCGTTGCCATGACATCCCCTCGAGGTGTAGCCTTGATATAATTAATGATCGCAGAAAGCAATCATTAAAGAACATGAGGGAAAGAAGTGTCACTTTTTACCCTGTAGTTGCACTGTGCGTGTTTGGCATCCACCTGTCCTGTCTCCCTCGGCACGGGACCAGCGTGGCCGGGGCGGCTGCCGGCGTCACGCAGGACGCGGCAGCCTCCGATGCACTGGTTTAAACAGAAGATTTTGTTGGGCTGGAATGCAGCTCAGCTAGAGGGTCATAAAGGTTGGTTATTTTCTGGATATAACATCTCTACTCTTCAGGAAATAGCAGGTTTGTGAGGATGTGGTTTATGGATTTTGCTGCTGGTTCTAATGTACCTTGAAGAGGGCTTCCTGTAGAGACTTATTTCAGATATTGCAACAGAGGTTGAGAAAGAAAATAGGCATGATTTAATTAAAAAAAAATGGTTAATTGAACACATGACTTAATTAAAAGAACCCAATATTGAAGAGAAGTTGGAGTGGTAATGGAGCACAATCTGGGTGGCCGTCATTGAGGCAGTGCTGCGGCAGCTGCCTGGTGTGGTGGGGATGTGCTCTGGCTGCCACCCCTGTATAGGCACCTCCTTTTCTGTTAAGGAAGTTTCTGACTTGAGTCCCATCAGGGTACCAGACTCAGTTATGAGACTAATAAAAAAAAAAAAATAGAAATTACGCAACGGTTACATGGGAGGATTTTTCATTAGGAAACTTGCTTTGGGAAGACTCTCGCTTTCCATTTTATGGAACATCTGATGGTTACTTTTTCCTGCACCGCCTGCAGCGAACCCTCCCAGAAGCTGTATCAGTCAGGCTCCTGTAGGGTTTCTTTGTTTTTCAAAATGCTTTTAAAACACTTGAAAACAATAAAAAAGACAGAAGGAAAGTCTTGATCTAGTTATCTGGCTTATGACTTTGCTGATAGAGTCTGTGGAATAAAAATGTCTTATGTTTTGTCTTAATGCTCAATTTCTTTTTGCTGCTGTTGTCTCTTTACTGAAGTACCGGTGTCTCTACTGAAGAGAAATTTTTCTCAGTAATCTCTCTAAGGAATTTCTTGCATTTTCATTACTTCTTTATGAAGGCCATCCTGGTATCTACTTTCTAGCATTTTCTTTACTTTTTTGTGTCAGTTTTTAATATGAGAAGGGTTTGTCTATAGGAGCTCTGAATGATCTCTTTGAGAGGAGGAGTGTGCTGAAATGGTCAGGGTTCAAGCATATAAGGAAACTGCTTTGGACCCCTATATATGTCTTAAGCAGAAATGCAACAACCTACACAAGTATGCATGCTAATGGTTCGTTTAAATTTTGGCTGTATGCAAACTCCACAGCACACTTTTTTTCTAGGTAACTGAAAGAATGAAAAAATGAGATATTGGGTATTTATGAGAATAATGGACCATTTTGCTCACCTTCTATTTTGCATGTCATTTGAGGACCAGTATCTCTTGAATGTTTATGCTCTGGGAGTACAGGAGTTAAGACAAAAATTAGTACTATGTATGCCTCTATTCAGTAGCGTTTAGAAGTCTGGAAGAAAGTCCATCTCTAGCGGATGAAGATGTCACTTCAAACCAAAAAATACAAGGTGGCTGACAGATAAATGAGGTTTCATCCTGGTTTAGTTGTACACACTTGTTCCGTGAGTGACACTGCTATCAAATAAAGAAGAGAGTCCTTTCTTCTCAGTGGCTAAAGCCATTTTGCAGTAAAGCTACAGTATTTCAAAGGCAGTGGTGATAATTGAGAAGTTTTACATGGTGAGGTGGTTTGGAAGGGGGGGAAGGCGGATTTTCCGAGTTTTGACTCATTGCCACAACAAAGTGAAAATTTAAAAAAAAAAAAAACTCCTCATGGGAAACCACATAAAACACTGGTGAAGGATTGTCACTGCTTCTCAGTTTCCTATTAAACGCCTGGGGAAAATCATCAAGCGGTTACAGTGCCTTACTGCTGATACAGCAATAGAATTAGATGATTGTAAAGTGGTTCCAGCCAAACCATGACTTTCTCTAATGAATTTCTCTGAGTTTGTTTCTCAAATGAGGTGTTAAAAAAGTTTGGTGGTTGGAAGCAGTACCTGAATGATGCTCAGAATGCGACCCTGTTAAGTCTTGATGAGCATTACAGTTAATGAAATTGCTCTAACCTGGGTTTAGCGAGTAGCATCGCTGCTGATCCAGAGCAGGAATTTTTGTTGCTTTTACATTAAGAACCAAATTGCTTTGCAGAACGAATGTGTCTTTCACGCTGACAGTCATCTTAGACCAGTGCCAGTATTGCAGCATTGTCTTCTCTGGTACCCTGGATGCTGGGGTGGAGTGATCCTATAGGAAGGTTCCTATAGGAAGATCCTATAGGAAGTTCATGCGTGACACCAACTTGGAAGGCATGGTCAGTATGTTGGAGAGCAGGACTGTCAGTTGAAGGAAAAAGAATAAGCTGGAGGATTGGAGTGGCAGGAACCACCTGACATGAAGCAAATGGAAATTTGAGGTCCTACATCAGGGAGAGAATGACCTCTGTGCAACAGGAGGAGCTGGGGAGCAGCTCTGCCAAAAAGAAGTTGGGGTCCTGGTGGGCAAAAATTTGATATGGGTCAACAGTGTGCCCCTATGGCACTGAAGTCTGATAGAGCTTCGTCCTGGAGAAGAGGCAAGAGAGAGCAAAACAGCTCCAAGGAAGGGCAGGGGGCCTGAATTGCTGCCCTCAGAAAAGAAGAGGGGACTGGACTGTCTTTGAGTTGTAGTGAAAAGAGGAGAGGCATTGGTTGCAAGTTGCAGAAAGAGACATTTGCACAGGATAAAAGGAAAAAATGTTCACTATGGAAATGAGAAAGCCCAGGAACGGGGCCCAGAGAGACTGTGGAATCTCCATCTGTGGAGCTGCTTGGGAAGGGGCTGGACATGTGCCCTGAGTAACCTGATCTAGCTCTGAAGCTCTGCTTTGAGCATGGAAGCTGGACTAGGGACCTCCAGAGATCCTATCCAGCAGGAATTACTCTGACACTCTGGTTCCCTCCATGTGTCCTGATCACTGATTTTTCTCTTCTGAGTCACATGCCCTCCTTCCCAGCCTTGCCCATTTGCTTTCCAGCCGTCCTCTTTAAGTCTTGGATGCACTTTTATGGATGTGCAGTTTGATAATTTATTTTAACAAAGAGTAACTAACTAATAGTACCTGCATATATTTCTCCTGGGGGGAAAAAGAGAAAAGAAACCACCACATATGGTTATAAGCACAGAAATTTCAGGTTCTGTGTAATGTATTATGTGAGTTAATGAAGTGCATGGGTGTGAAAAGTTTTCCCTCTAAATCTCAGCTGAAAACATTTCCTCTGGTGATCTCATTTCTGGCTTAAAGCTTTCTTCTGCAGCTAATTTCCCTCAGGCTTGGGATCTCGTTGGGAAGTCTGGAGACCTTTAGTTTTGGAACTGGTACTTTAAACATCAGAAATTTGCTGTTTTCTGAGGCAGAAGAGGCATCATTTGATCCAGTGCGGCATTTATTATCCATATGGCTGCTTTGTTTTATTTTTTGCATGCACACAAGACCTTGCAGATTTTAATCACGCGCTTTTTGTATTTGAGATTGATTAATGAAATACAGGAACTTCAAAATTACATTGCAGTAATTATAATGAGAAAAATGTCCTTCTATGCTTTCCACCTCTGAATTTTAAATGTGGAATTTCTCCAGCTGCAATGTATTCCATTCTCTCAGTGAAGTTCAACTGATTCTTCTGGGATTGTAATAAAGTTTTAGTCATCTAGGACATCAGAGCTCATTTGTGTTTGACAGCAGAACTTGCTTCTATTGCAAACAGTCTTACTCTGTCACCATGGTTGAAATGACTTCATGTTAGAGGGAGGAGACACAATAAAGCCATTAAGATTCCACCCAACCAGGTATTTTACAATACAAAACCCTTCATTAACGAAGATTGTAGGGAATATGAGTGAATGCATCCTGTGGCCTTACAAGTAAAAATATTCTATCTGATCGCTGATCAAAATTGGAGAAGATACTTGTTCTAAGTATGCTTTTGTTCCCTCCTTCAGTGAATTTATATCACTCTTCCACCTTCTGGCTATACAGTTAATAGCAGTGCGTTAAGTTCTTAGCTCTGGCTTTGGAGAAAAGTGCGGCTTTTGGAACTGCTACTTCTTCTCCAGAGGCAGCAAATCTGCCAGAAAGCTGCTTGAGCAGGACATCAGCGCTACTCCCATCTGTGCTTATTGGGAGATAATGATTTGGGGATTAGGATGATCTTTTATTTTGCAAGCAAATATTTTTTTCTCGTGTTTTTGCCATTTTTTCCTCACATCATCCTATTAAAAAATAATTTTTAAAAATAATTTTCAGATTTTCCTAGAGATACTCCTGATTTTTCAGTTAGGTTGAGAGTCTGCCAGCAAATTTTTAAATGAAAGAAATTTTTTTATGTTCATAGGAGTTTGCCATTCATGTTTAATAACAAAGTTCCGGAATAAATTATTTTATGAGGGATATGTTAAATAAAGCGATAGAAATGTGAGTATGAATAAGTCCTTAAGTGCTAGATGGCTGAATATACTTGTAAGGAACAGAAAAGTAATTTAAATCTGTAAGGGAGTAAGATTTTTCATATATAAATAATAATGATGAATTTTATATTCACCTTGGAAGAATTCTTTTCCCTCTGTAGAAGGTTGTACTGCCTGTAGTTCTTGTTGAAGCAAGGAGCAAGTGCAGAATCATTGGTGCATATTTTCTCACTGTCTCCTTTTTTCCTCTTTTATATAGTCCACAGGAGAAACCCCCACAACCCCAAAGCATACAAAGGAAAACAGAGAGAACTTCTTTCCAGTAACACCAGCCACGCTGCATATTACCCCGGTGAACCCGGACACTGTGACTCCTGAAAATCTCCTGAGACTGAATGACCTGCATTCCAAACCCAAACCAGCCTCTTCCTCCTCCTCCTCCTCTTCAGCATCTTCTTCAGTGCCTCCATCCCAAGAGTCACACAGGGACACGGAGCAGCTCCGGAGTCAAAATGCAGAGCCTGCTCCCAGCATGTGTGATGTGGCACGGGGTAAGTCCTGGGGACACTTGGCCCTCTTGCCGGGGCTGCACTGAGTCAGTGCCTGAGTTCCCATTCTGTCCCATTTTGTGATCATTAGAACACATTCAAAATGCTGCACAAAAGCAGGATTTGTCTGGCTCCGAGATGGCCGTAAATGTATAATTGATGCATATTTTAATAGGATAGATAATGAAATTCTAGTGAGCAGTGTTTATGTAACTTAATGTAAAATCACGGAATAGTAGTATAAAATTAAAGTGATTTTAAATAGAGAATGGTTCCCATTTCAGACTTACCAGGCATTCAGAAAAGATGGTTGTGCTTATTTGTGTATTTGTGGGACACAGTGCATATTCAGATGCCATAGCTCCCGCTGTAGCCTGTACCTTTTTGCAACTTTAGCAGGAACAGTGTCTGACAAAGCTCTTGCTACTGCCTGTCCTCACCCCATCTGCTCAAAAACTGGGGGAGATTTCAAGGCTGATTCTATCCCTGCTACGTCATCGTTTGAAATACATAGTTGACACAGTCTCAGTTACCTCCAGCCACCATCTGAAATAAGCTCATGCTGCCCTCCTGTTAATTACTCTAATTTAAAATATCACTGAAATTTCTTAATCTTCTCTCATTCAGATAATTAAGACTCTAGTTTTACAGTACCGATATTTCATATAAATTACAGTTTACTGTGTAAGTAAAATGATGAAAATGTCTCAATCTTAGGAAAACATCCTTTTTCAAACATGACAGTGCTTTTCATATACAGAAAGGGAACTTAAAACTGCTTATAAAATGCACAGACAGTTCATAGGAGCCCAGATCCGTTTAATGGACCACATATGTACAGGTCTTGTCAGAAGTGACAGTGGAAGATACAGTAGAAATAGATTTGGAAGACTTATGACTAATGAGTAATATTAATAATGAACAGGCAGTGATCTAGACCACATGTTTTGTTCAATATCAGTATTTTTTGTATCAATATTCTCATATTATGGCTTTCTAAAGTTTTTAACAATATGCTTATTGCAATTATGGTACACAATTTCCTTAAATCATCAATCTAGGCTTCTAAATGCACCAGATTTCCTGAATGCATCATCAACATAGAACAAACTAGGGAAAAATCAGTTTTCCCAATGGGTTAACCTCTGAGTGCAGGATGAAATTGAAATTTAACGTGCAGAATTAGCGGTTGCATTATAACGGTCTCATTTTCCTGTCTCTCAAATCCTTGGAGAAATTGTCTTGAGAGGAAAGGAAAGGAGAGAGCAGAGTAATGATATGGAAGAAAAGGCCGGGTCTATGTGGAAACCAGCTTGGTCACTGTCCTTATGAAAGTAAAGAATGGAGTCACACGGTGTCATAAGGTATCTTGGCAGGCTCGTTCAATGGGAATAATCTGTGTCTTTGCTTAGACAACAGAAGGGAAAAGATGAATCCTGCAGTTGATGGAGTTACTCTGCACTTAGTAAGCAGGAAGATAGGATTGGCAATGCAGGTGAGAGCTTCTGCAGCTCCCCAGGCTGCCTTTACCGTGGTGACTTCACTTATGTCAGTCTTTTGACTTCCTAGGCTTGGGGAGGGTTGTGAAGTTTCGTATTTTCGTTCTTCTTGCTTGCTTTCTGCATATCACGTCACTTGAGGGAGGCAGGAGGGGTTTCTGCCAAAATTATTCCTCTGAAATTGTGTGAAGATCAAGAGGCTCTCTGCAGAGCCCTCATTCCTGTGGTCAGTGCCTGTGTCGTATCTAACATTCTGGCTCTTGGACCTACCTGACAGGTCTTTTCTGAGAGAAGCCAATTACTGCTGTATTTTTTTTCTTTTTAAAATTCTACCTTTGCACCCCCTTTAAGAAGAGCTGCTTCTAATTCCATTTTATCCCGTTTTCATCTGCCTTCATTTAGGGCTGCATTTCTGGCCAGACTCCGCCCCTTGTATTTTCTGCCTAATATTTTCATCTTTTCTTTCTCCTCTTAATTGTCCTTTTCCTAACCTCCTCCTGCAGCTGCCTGCTCACAGCAGAGCATTCCGCAGCAGAGGGGACCAGCTGCTGCCTTTCCTGTGGCTTCACCCAGCAAAGGGAATGGTTTTCCAGGCAGTGCTGGTGCTGTCCCACTCACCTCTTACATAAACCCTGTCGTGAGATTCAGAACATAACATATAACGACTGGAACGGAATGCAGCACGATGAAATCCAGCAACAAAGTGATTATAGTGATAATTTCAGCATGAGAACCTCCTACATTTAGGCATAAATCATGGAACTGTTAGTAGCCTTCAGCTTGGGCTAAAACTTGCTCTGGGGAAACTAAAATAGGACATTTAAAGTAAGCCCTCTGCTGTGTCCCATGTTCCAGGATTGTACTGTTCTAAAGTACTGGAGAGTCTTGAGAGATTTTCTTCTTTGTTGTCCTTACCCTCAGGATAATTTTTACAATGACTAAACAGGAAAGTATTCATTCACTTCTGAGTTTTTAACAGCAAGGGAGGACTTTTATATTTGAATTTATTTTAAATACTATGTTTTGCTTAAAACTAGTATTTTGCCAGAGTGGAATATAAAAGCATAATGCTTTTTTTTCCCTCTTCTCCCACTACTCACCAGTGAAAAAGACTTTTATGGAGACATGAGGTAGTGAAATAAGTGTCCTAACTTAGAAATGATTACATAGAAATAACCTTACTTCTGGCTAAGGAAGACAATAATTTCCATCCGTAGTGTGCAGGGATACTGCAATATCCCTGCAAAAAAAACCTGTGAAATGTTCATCTGTAATACCAAACATTTGTTACCTAGATGCAACAGGACAAGTAGAAGTATGAATGTGTTGCAGTAGGTGACCCATTAAACTTTTACACTCTCAGAAGTGCAAGAAATAAGTGTTAGGGGGGAAGTTTGCATGCGCAAAGTAAGTGGTAGTATCATAATTGTGAATGATGGAGTTAACCTGTCTATGTGCGTGGGCACCAGTAGTTTCCCTAGAAGACAGTTGTTCAAAACAGAGGAGGTTTTGACATAGCTCTTGAGGATTCATTAATGATGTATTAACATGGCATTTAGCTGGGCAGTATTTTGACACTCACATGAGGTGTAGGGAGCATCTGCTCCCTGGGGGCTGCACGAAGCTGCTCTCACCAAGCGCTGCCCTGTGCGAGGCTGTGGCTGAGGCCTCCGAGGGTGGCACTGCATTTATGCTCTCCTTTATGCTCTCCTCCTGCAACCTTGACCTCCTCTGACGACCTCCTCTGACGACCTCAGTGTTTCCACTTCTTGTCTGATCCTTGCTTTTCTTGAAGCTTTTTACTTTTCCGAGTGGCTGCATTCTGAAAACAGCTTCCTGGCTGGGTTTCAGCAGGGGGTTCCTGCATGTGAGTAGCTTCTCCAACCCCTCTTGCTTTGTGCTCAGACAGTACCAACCAGTCACATCTTTTCCTCCTCCCCTAGGAATATGCCTCATTCAGTTTCCTAGTGCAAGAAACTCATTCCCTCCAAAATTTTCTGCCGTTTCCAACCTTCACCATTCAGGTTGCTTGTGTTTTATGTGTTTATGTGTATTACAGTGTAATCTGCACAAAATCCTTTGGAATTGAAACATTTGTTGAGTTTGTGCATCCATGATAAATCAATAAGTAGGACGCTGACACGGCTCTGAAACTGTGGCCAGTGATGTGATAAGTGTGTTGGCTGGGCAGGGTTGTGGTCCAGCCTTGCAAGCCTGGCCCACCCTTAGGGCTCCCTGGAAATCCCAGGGCATCCCTGGTCTTCAGCATAGCCTGCACGCAGGGAACACCTCTTCTGGAGACCACCAGGATTTGTAAGAGAGTGGTAATGACTATATTATTGCCACATATTTCAGTCTCACTATTTTTAGATTAATGACAGCAGAATAAAACTCATGCATGAAGGAAGGCTGGACAGAATCTAACTGAAAGCATTACAGGTATTACATTATTTACAAAATTTTCAGAGAAATCTCTTAAAAGAAAACAACAAAACCCATGCTGTTCCAACAGCTGCTTTTTGTTAATTTGTACTGTGCTTAATTGGCACTCAGGTCAAAGGAGATTCAGACTCTGTCTTAGGAGGAGGGATCTTGCAGCTCTCACCAGGTAACTAGTAGATAAAGTTTGCAAGCAGTAGACCTCAAGCAAGAAGCTGTCGCTGTATTCTAGTCTTACTGTGGGATGCTCTCCGAATGATGCATTGTTGTGGAGTCAGATACTAAGACACAAATATCAGTTATCTGTATCTTTAAAATGCCATTTGAAAGTTCGGGTAGTTGAATACCCAACTTGTTTTTTTGATCTAAGCCCAGAGATTATTTTTTTTTCTTTTTAATCAGACTAACAAGAGAGAGAGAGAAAATTGATTTAGGACTTTTTGTTAGCTACATGCATGTCAACATGCAGGCACCTTTGTGCTGTCTGCATCTCTCCTGTGCTGTCTGCAGGCACTGCTGGAATGACCCCAGAAATATTAATAGAAATATTTCTATTTCTGTATTCAGTTTTCTGTGACTTCTTGGCAAGATGGCTAAAACAAGTCCAGAGAAAGAAAATGTGTATGGAAAGGGTGCCGTGTAGCCTTCCTGTACTCCGTAATCAGCCAAACGGCCTTCCTGGCTGCTGCAGCCCCGTATTGCTCATGCCGGGGGCCAGCTGAGGACTGGTGCTCTCACTGCGTCTGTAGACCAGCATCCTTAACTGACCCGTGTTCAGCCTGTGCTCCAGAGCAGCCTTTCCACTGACCAGGGAGCAGAGTGGAGGAGGAAACTCTGAGCTCCTTCAAGCTCAAGCTTTCCATGCGTAGACTTTCCAGCAGCTCTATGGGAAAAACACTGTATTAATTCCCAGCATGCTGGAGGACAAGGCAAGCGGAATACAGAAGATTTTAATCACCAGCTTTTCCTTAGTTGTGTGAGATATTTATTCCATTTTGGTGCAGAGGAAAGGATCAGACCCATTTCCATCACCATTGGAAAGAAAGGAAGTTGTGACACCTATCTCATATGGTGAATTAGTGCCAATCAGTTCGGTGCTCAATTACAGGTGCTCTGAGTAGCATTAAAATACAAAGTAAACCAGTTGTTATAGGGACTGGTAAAATAAGTGTTTTCTAGTGTCTGCAGGTGCACAGAATTTGGTAAGTGTTTTGAAGGCAAGGTGGAACAGGATTGTTAATAATGCTGTATTGCATTTTCAGACATTTTCTTTGCTGGGGAACGTATTTTGCAGCGGGATTAAGGCAAGGGGCGCAAGTGCTTTACTTGAGCACTTGGAGCAGGATGTGTCTCTGAAATCAGGGCAGCCTTGTGTTCTGGGCGCCAGAGCTCCTTCCTTTTTCCTATAATGAAACCGTATTTGCTGCAATGAACTCTTAAGTTGTTTATATACTTCAACCTATCTGTGCTTTAATACTTGAAACTGCCTCCCTCACTGTTTGGAAAATCCTTTTTTCCAGGTGCCAGACACGTTCCCTAGGCTCGTCTTTCAGTTGTCACGTAGTAGCTTTAGTGCAGGACAAAAGAATTTTTCCAAATTCCTGCTAAAATGTTTTATAACAGTGTGACGTTAATGCCACCTCCTCCCTGGCAGTGCACGGAGAACAAGTGACAAAGTGCACGGGGAGCCAAGCAGCTCATCACCACATCTATCCTGCTGCTTTTCAACTTTTTCGACATTTGCAAGTGCCTATTTTTGCTTTTTTGGTGATTTTTTTTTAATGCATCCTCGTGGGACGGGCAAAGCAAATCGCCACGAGCCAGGGGCTGTGGTTGCATAATCTGCCTGTTTACAGGGTGCCCATAACATGGCTATAGTGCATGCGGCGCCCAACGGGAGCGAGGGAGAGGCAATATTAGCTGTGATGAAGTCACGAACCCCGGCGCCCGCTATAGGCATCTGCAAACACGGGTTGCCCTGGCAACAAGTGGAAAGAGGTTGGAGAGGGAAGCTGGAGTAGGTTGTTGCCTTGAATTGTTTTCAGCCTGTTTCTTCCTCGCTAAAGCAGGGGGATGTTGAAAGGTATGACGCGCCTCTCCGTGGGTCCTGGGTGCAGGGAGTTGCTGGGAAGGGGAAGCCTAGGTGATAATTTCACACAATCCAGCTCAATTGCACCTGAACTTTTCCAATAAGGAGCAAATTTGTGCTTTTCGTGCATGCGTCGTACTTGTTGCGTTGTGCTCTAAGGTGAGAGCGCTGCGTGGCTCTGCAGAGCCTGTCCCATCTGCAGCCTGGAGCCATCAGCCTGTAGCAGCTCTCGTCTTCAGAAGCTGATTTAATTTGAAGCTGGGTTCGTAGAGCTGATGTTTGAAAAGCTGCCAGAGCAGTGCAGGTACTGTGTGCTAGCAGTGGGTTTGTTAACTGAGATTAAACTGGAGCTTCCGAACCCCTTCGGAAGGGGCTGTGCTTGTTTGCTTGGGCAGAATATTGTGGCTCCCGAGTTAGTGGAGTCTTTACCTCCCCGGGGAAAGTTTTTATTAGAAAATCTGGGACATTGCGTTCAGGGCTATAACAGCATCTTGCACAGGACGAATGGCAAAAGGCTCTCTTTGGAAATCTGCTTCAGAAAGTAGGAAATTCAGACGTGTGTTTCCTCTTGATTATCCTTCTGTCTTTTGCCCTTTCTATCTAAAAGAGGTGGGGGGAAAGATTGATAGATACCAGTGCACAGTATTAACCATTAGTACAAATTGAGATGTATACACCTGAAACAAACATTTTGTGTTATTTTCAAGAAGTGAAAAAAAAAAAAGTGGTTGTTGATTTAATTATTAGCTTAAAATAATGCCACTTGTAATTGACTATTACAAAAAGCCAAAATTGCACAGTCATAAAAGAAGGAATTGGGTGACCCACTCGGGGAGCAGGATTCAATCACTGTGTGTTTAACACCTCTGCCAGCCAGGCACCAATTAGCAGGCAGAGGTACTTGATTCTCACGTCTGAAAGATGCAGCCTAATATAATATTAACAAGTGTTGTTCCCCAAAGTGTAGAAGAAATGCACCAGAAATGCACGTTTAGGGTGCCAAATTTGTGCCCCATTCGCTTTCACATGGAAAGCGGCTGACACATGCTTTTATTCAAATTAAATCTACTTTTATGACACTATGAAACCAGATATGCAGAGCTAATAAAAACAAACAGAGCAGGGATGGAAGCTGGGCTGCGTGCGAGCACCCTACCTGCCCAGGGAGGATGTCCATGACTCTCAGCCTTGTTTGGACCAGGAATCAACAGCTTCTGTCTGTGTGGCTGTCTTGAGAAATAAGACCCAGCAAATGAGCTTAAGCAATGATATGTCTTATAATTAAGTAAAGGTAATAATCAGCATAAGAGGTAGAGCTTTGTCCTTGGACGCTAATACAAATCTGAGCTCTTACTCTGCACGGTGAACTGGTAAGTCCCTAATACAATTTAGCAGTTGCATACAATCTGTTCTCAGCTAACAGCGTAGTTAAGCCTAGAGGATTTACAGTTCATTTATAGTTGCTGTAATGTCTGTGGAAATTAATGTGGGTTTTGTATTTTTAGTTAAGAAGCGAATAGTTTAGTACTTACCAAGATGTCTAAGGCTGTGAGTCTGAAGCGTTAAAGCAAGTTAGGTGGGTGTCGACTTCCCAGCTGTCTGCCAGGCTGAGCTTGTGAAATCATCGTTTTCTTGTTGCCTTCTTCAGATGCTGATGTGATGTTTCTTTCTGTCTTCTGATCCAAAGCACGGCCTGCGACCATGTGGTTGTGGAAGTGCTCTGGGCTGAGCCCACAGCTTGTTGTTGCTGCGGCACACGTGTGAGCCCGGCCTCTGGGGCTCGTGTGGCTAGATCTGCGTGTGGCTGCTGCAAAAAGATTGAGTTTCCTAATGCAGGTTCCTGTAGTTTAAGTATTTCCTCCGTGTTGTTTTTAAGTTGACTTGATTTATTTCTGCAACACGTGCACAAATTCAACCATTAGCATCATCCTTCCAGTGCTGTGTCCGTGGAGAACTGTGCGGGCTGAGGATGGGAATTAGGGCTGTCTCTGTTGGACCTGCCCTCTTGGTGCTTGCTGCTTGCATCCATGCAGACCAGACCGTGATTTGTGTGTGACATTTCCTTTTCTGCAGCTGCTGGAGAATCCTTTCCAAGCAAACCCATTTTTTTCTCATGCTTGTGCTGCCTGTCAGCCACCAGCTTAGATAAAGGCAATTTTTCTTTACCTGTGAAAATCAGTGGCTGAAAGAACTTACAAGAAGTTCTCTTGGCCAGGAAATCATTATCCTGGTAAATTCTCAGTGATGGAGAAGTGTTTTTCAGTCCCTTAGGAGGGAAAAAAGAATAATTTTCCATTGAGAAAAATTGAAAAGTGGTTCCCTTTTAACAAGCTATGCTCTCAAAATCCTAAACTAATTTAGAACAGGGACATAAGAGGAATTGTAGAGCAATTTAGATGTGGATTTACAATGCATTAGCTCATCTGTGATAGCTGCCTGTGCACACCTTATCCTGTATAAATACAAGGCAGTGCAAATCAGCACAGACAGTCTTTAGATTTTGAAGAATATCTTCATTTAATCAGAAAATAAGAGCTTGTCCATGGCCTTGAAAGGCCAGCAGCTATTTCTGTCTGCCCTTCCCAGAAGGGATTGTCATTGGTAGCTCACAGTAGTTCAGTGAAAATGACTTCTCTTATGTACAATACGCAACCCAGGGTGAGGAAAACTGGTTTAATATTACATTCATTTAAAAGTAAATGCAGATGAAATCTATTTAAGAGATTGGGCACAGATTGGGCTCTGAGTTAGGAACATTTCGGATCCTGGCATGGCAGAAGATTTTTGCCTAAATAATGCGTTTATAGAGGTGCAGGGGGCATAACAGCGAAAAATGGTAATTCAGTATAACTTTGCATTAGTTATCTAGATCTAGCCCTGTTACTGGATGGTCACAGTAATTAATCTTACCTACCAGTAAGCTGCTTTTCAGAAGAGTGTGTGCCTGTGGTTGCAGATCAGAGGGAGATGTCTGGATCACAGCTGGCTCCTTATTAACGGCGAGGGCTTTGGCTTCGCCTCGGTGATGGGTGTTTCAATCCCCAGGTCTGCAAAGGGTAATGGTCAGTTGGATGGTTTTGTTTCTTGCAGTTGTACAAGGATAACAAAAGGTCCTGCACCTGAATTCTTTGTTCTGCTTTTAAAATGTCATATTTTTTTTCTCCGAGAGTTTGAATTGATAACAGCCAAATGGTGCTTTTAAAGAAAACAACATCTCCTGCTTGATTAAACAACAAAAGGATTGAGGCTTGAGAAGGGGATCAGGATGCCTTTTAATCTGTGAATTTTGTTTTGTTAATAAAGAGGAAGAAGAGCTTGAAGTGCCTTTGGAGGGCCTTGGATTTCAGCAGCAAGAGTCACGGCTCTGTCAGCAGATGAAAATGGCTACAGTTGCCCCCTCACCAGAACCCGTGTGCTGGCAGGTGGAATCAGTGACCAGCACGAGCTCAGGACATGTTTCTACTCAAGGTAAGGCTTTTTTCTTATGCTGCTTATAATTCTGGAAATCAGTGATTAAATAAGTATCGATATCTAGAGACTTTGATCGCTGTGATCCATATTCCTCAGCTTCTCTGCCTGCCTTTCAGTCAGGGATTCCAGAGTTCACAGGCATTCCTGGCAGCATCCCATCTTCCTGGAGAAGTGCCTTGTAGTCCCTTAATGGTTATTCTTTTTGGTGTGTGTCATACTAAATACCACATCATTAAAGCCAAATACAAGGCTAGCCAGTACCTGACTGTCGTGCTGTGCTTCCTTTAATCAATATTGGAATATTTAGCAGAAGGAAACAATTTTTTGTAGTACTCAAGCTAAGTCGGGGTAACATAAATACCCAGCTTTATAGCAGGTAATGCTTTTCTGTCCCTGCTCTGCCTCCTAGCCTAGAAAAATAGAGATGATACTTTAACTGGAGGGGAGAAGGGGGAAGGCACAAAGCACAAAGGTCTTTCTTGAAAAAGGCACCAAGTGGATGGGGGAGCTTGACAGTGTGAATGGATAGGAGGTAGGAGCTGATCTAGAAAGAATAGAAAAAAGAGATGATACTGTAGAGGAGGAGGCATAAAATAGCCTCCTAAGGAAAAAAGTACGCAGCTTTATTTGTTGCATTACAGTTTGGCAAGCATTAGAGAATGCAAAAGTAAGATGATGGGATCTAAAACAGCAAGTGAATGCTTGCTGTAGCCTTCTAACTAGAAGAAAATGGATCAAGGCTACACTGTCATTTGTCCTGCCTGGCACACACAGGCTACGTTTCTTTTATCCAGTAAGATTTTAAAAAATTACTGCTGCTTTCTAGTTGTCACTGTAGAATCTTGAGGCACATTCTATTGCTGAGCCTTAATTAAAAGTAAGGCTTAAAAAAAAAGGCAGCCAGCCTAACAATCTACTTTTTCCTCTCCTTTGAAATTTGAAATCATAGGTAGCCTCCTAACGTGTTTTTTTTATTATTATTATTTTCTTTAGCCTCCAGTTCCAAGCCTGAACTCAGCTCCAGCTCCCAGACCTTGGGAAGTCAGCAGAGCAAGACAGATGGCACCCGTGTAAAAACTCGCGTTCTGCCCAACATGCCAAAGCTTTTCATACCTTCATCTATCACCAAATTTCCACCTGAGATCACTGTCACTCCACCCACTCCCACCCTCCTTTCTCCAAAGGGCAGCATTTCAGAAGAGACCAAGCAAAAATTAAAGGTAATAAAAGGGAAGCACTGATTTTTTTTTTAGATGCTTGTTTTTGTCTTAATTCTCCCCTAAATAAAAACCCTTTGTGCAAGGAGAAACCGTTCCTGGCCCCAGTTCTTAATTGGGGCTTGCTTAAGTAATGGAATGAGATGCTAGCTGTTACAAGCAGGAGTTAATTTTTAAGGACTAGTGAAATTCTGGACATTGGTAGAATCACAGCTATCCCAGCCTCTTGTCTGCGGGAATTAGAATAAGTTACAAAAATGGGTGAGGGAAGTAGTGCAGACACTGCAGTTCTTATGTTAGTGGAAGCTAGCAGAATTTTCATGTGGGGCAGCCTACAGGTAAATGCTATATTGTTTCACATTAGGATGCCATATATTTATAGAAATAAGAGGGCTTATGAATGTGAAGCAATAGCAGCCAGTTGGCTTTTATCCCTGGGATCATGGGTTTATCCTGACTATTTAGCAATATATTCTCTCTCTCTCTTTTTGGGATCAGTCTGCTATTTTGTCTGCTCAGTCTGCAGCGAATGTAAAGAAGGAGAGCCTTTGTCAGCCAGCTTTGGAAATCTTAGAGACTTCAAGCCAGGAGTCCTCACTGGAAAGTGATACTGATGAAGATGATGACTACATGGACATATGAATGAATTCTGGCCATCACCAACCACATAACCATTCTTCTTGTTGCCGGCATCTCTGACAGACATCTTCGTTGGCATCACTCCCCATTTAATCTACATCGTTGTGTTCCTCACGTCCATTCCCCTGTGTTATCACCACTGCTGCTTGTATTGCCTTCACAGTCGTCGCCATCCTCCCCATCATGGTGCTTGACAGAAGGAATGATTGTTTACCAGGCAGTTAATTCCCTTGGACTCTGTTGTCACCCTTAACTTCAGCAAACACGAGAATGTTTTGAGCTGCAACTCGCATCTCTACTGTTCCTGCTTCAAAACAGAGCCTTGGGAGCAAGTCCAGTGGCTCTTTTCTATAGCATTTTCCTACCTTTTAGTTGTCTTTCATTTTTCTCCACTGCTAACTTCTCCTCCCACAGCCTAGTCTCTGTCTAGCCATGCCATGATTAGACCAGCAGCTTCATTTAGGGGGAATGGAGCAGGAGAAGTTTGCTGAAGTGGCAGAACTTTCAGTTGCATCAGGGAAGTCCATGGCTTTAGTTCAGGGCAAGAAGGACGAGCTGAAAGGCTGTCAGCTCCAGGGCCCAGCTGGACACAGGCAGAAAGGTTGGTCTCCCATTCGTGCTCATTTTCCTCCTGTGTATGAGGGCCAGCAAAAATCATCTACCTGAATATTGGCTTAAAGAACTGAACTTTCCAGAATTGTCTTACAGTCCTTTCTCTTCTAATGCCTTGGACAAGCATTTTGATTGGGGGGCTAGATGATATTTTTATGGTGGTATTGGAAAAAAAAAACCCTTAAGATTTCAATACCATTTCAGTAATGTCTGTTTTTTACAGAATGACACGAAAAGGTGTTTTTTTAAAACTATCTGCAGAGGGACTGCTCACAGTTATTTATATGAGAAAATAATAGTAACAAATCATTTTTTTCTACTGAATGTTAACTTTGTAAAATAATGAATGCAAACCATGCAAAAAAAAATCCATGTCACGCTATAAATATATATATATATATATATAAAAACAAATATGCGTGCACACACATGCATACATACACACACACATACACATGTGTATATATGTGTACATATGTATGGTAAAAGAAAATGCATACGGCTTGCCATGGTGGATTTCTTTGTGTTTGTGGGGGTGGGGGGGAGGGATGGTTTTCTGTGAAACGCAGAGCTTTGTATAAACCTTTGGGTTTTTTTCTAATAAAGTTGAAACGTACTTACCTTTGTCTCCGGTGGTTTGGGGGATCGAGATGCCATGGTTCTGGAAAGGGGATTACTGCTCTTGCCTTCCTTTCTGGAGGAGGGCAGAAAATCTCAGCCCTTCCTGAAGGCTGCCAGAACTGCTGGGATGGCTTCGGTCTTAGGTGACCCAGAGCCTGGCCGGTTACTCCTGCCAAGCACACGTGGCCCTGGTTCCATATCCCCGTTGAGCTACGAATGGGCTCTGGATAAAAAGCAGCAGCATCGGACTTTGTCTTGCCAGTTTGTCCTTACCCTCCATGTTCATTTTGAATAAACCCTAATTTCTGAATGAGCGAACACATCCATCGTGGAAATTAGGAACTGTTCATGTATTTTGTTGGTTTACTTGCGTTACGGATGAACAGCAGGCAAATGGCACGTGGAGAAGATTGGGTAAGTAAGCAGCGAAGGCAAGTGTTTATTTTTAATAGTAAAACAGTCTTAATGTTTGTTTGCTCATTTGGCCTAGGTGATAATCACAATGTGTAACATACTCTATAGGCATCGGCTGGTAATAGGCTCAGCGTTCTGAAAATAAAAGGAATAATCTTTATTTTTAAAACACAGCACAGGAAGGAGAAAAAAGAAATCAGCTTCTAATGAGAAATGGAACACAATTAAAAAGTGAACCTCAGAGCCAAAGGTTTTTGGAGGACATTGTTTTGATTAGTGCTCTTAAGTAGCGTAGATTATATAGGCTTTTGGGCTAATAAATACTGTTAATTGTACAGCTAATTTAAGGTCACCTATGGGTTCTTTGGTCCACAGTCTAGCACAGTTAGGATGTATGCAGGTATTTGATTTGACTGAAATGGGGACTGTCATTAGTGTAGTCTTTAGGCAAGAACATTGAGAATCTTCATTAAAGTTAATTTGGGCCTCTTATTTAAGACCGGACTGTTTCTTAATTGAATTCAGTCATTGAAAATGGCTGTTTTCCTTTATTCTTCTTTAGGTTTACCTGAAGCTAGGTATTTTGTAATTACCTTTTTTCTCCAGTGCTTGCTAAAAAGCTTGATCTTGAATTTTATTTGATTCCCAGCCTTCTTTGTATTGTGTGTGGTTTTTTTTTTTTTTTTTTTTTTACTACTGAAAGAAAATTACCGCAGCGAGAAAACTGTTCATATGAGAAAAGTGAGCTGAACAGGGTTAATCTGCTCTAAACTTGTTTAAATCGTCACACTGCAAAACTGCAACTTGCTTTGTCAGTTTTCCAAAAGTCTTTAACTGCTTTTCTTGCTTTTTATCCGTGATACTTCATTCCTCTTATGCTCTCAGGTAGCTCGAGGAGCTTTGTTTTAAGACCTGGGGAGTTACTGGGACAGATGAGATTACCCGGGCTGCCGCCTCCAAATCCTGCTTCTCTGCTAGTGGCCAAGTCCTGCCCTGCTCAGCTGTGGACCCTCCGTGGACACTATTGCTGCTGATCTCTGCCTAAAGACCCACTCAACTTCTCCGCCTATGAAATCCTCTCCCAGTAAGTTCAGTTTACAAAGCCCTTGTTCAGTTCAGGGATCTGTATTCTGGTGAGAAGATGGTCACAGTCACTGGCTGCGTTTTCCCGATGCTCTTTCTCTGAAGCACCATCCCTATGAGTTCTTGAAACAGGAACTTCAAATCCTGTGCAAAATCTTGTGTTCACTTCGTATGGCCATCTCTGAAAGATCAAACTATAATCTTACGGAATTAAAGTTTATGGTAAAACTGATTTAGCTATGATTTTACTTGAAGCAACTTCCTTTTTATTTTTTATCCTAAACATAGATAAAATAACTTGAAATTCCAGTACAAACAAGGTCAAATTATCAGCTGCCCTGTTTGAGTTGCATATCAAATGTAGATCAGGCTTCTGATCTTTAGGATTTACTGGGTCATCGTTGCTTCTGAGATCCGTGTGTTTCCAAATTTCGTTGTAATATAGTATCAGACAAATGAATAGTGGTTACTGAAATATACTGCATATATATATTGCAAGCAGTTTTCTGAAATCTGTATTTCAGATATAGAGCTATAAATACAAACTGCAGATATACAGATATAAATACAAGCTGCATTTGTATTTAATGCACTTCCTTTTTCTGACAGAAGGATTATATAATTATACATAACTGAGGTCATCAAGAATTTGGATCTCTGAAGAACTATTGTTTTTATAAGAATTTTTGTTAGGCGCAGATATTATTAGTGATGTCTTCCCACTCACAAATACTGCTCCTCAAAAACTAATACTTTATTCAACATTAAATGTCTTCCAAAATTCTATCAAGTACTAGAGTTGGTTAGCAGATTTTTTTTTTTCAATTAAAACAAGATTGGCTCATGAATAATGAAATTAATGTCTCTTGCAGCCAAAACAAACACCATATGGTCAGGGAGAAAGGGAGCAGAAGAAGAGGAGGAAGGCATGGCAGCAGAGGCTGATGAGAAGACGAAATGGATTGAATGGAAACAGAGGGGTCAGATGAGAATAGAGTAAGTTGTGTAGATTGCTAAGCAGTAATTCACTAAGGTGAGATCACGCAGTTTGTTAAATTCAGTGTTCTGGTTCTGGCAGTGATAATGACATTTCTGGAAAGCTGAAGAATTCATGGCACACCTAACTTGTGCGTATAGTGTTACAGGGCATAACTTATTTCTTTTCCTGCAGGGCTTGCTGTGTTTTTCAAGGAATAATGTGGCACAGTAAATGAGTTTGGATGCTCAGAAGAAAAAGCAACAAGCACAAATTTTACAAGCTGTTGCTCAGAGCTGGGATGTAGGGGTTTCATTCTTGCAGCTGAATGTGATGGCAAGAACGTCAGGGTAGGTGCTCAGTGCTAATTGCCTTCTTTCCCTTTCTTTTGACTGATGACTAGGAATTCAGCTGTGCATTCAGGGCATGCATCAGTATTTCGAGAGTAATTCTGGGCTGTGTTTTCCAGAAAAGTTACATGGCTTTCAGCTCCTGCTTGCTGTCCTCTCACCCATGCTGCTTTTGCTTGTTCAGTTCTGTAACTCCTCTACCAGCCTATTTTCTGCATTTGAAGTTCCCACTATGCTTTCAGCTAGCCCTTTTCGTCGAAGTACTTAGATATGGATTATGCTGTCCCAATTCAGGTGATGTTCCAGTACAGGTAAATTTTAAGGGTTTTTTTTTAAGGTTTTAAGGGGTTTTAAGAGCCTAATGAACACGTTCTTAGGAAACCTAGTAGACGTCATTTTTCTCAAGTCTGACAAAAATGCAAGTACATAGCTGCAAGTCTGTTAGGACAAAAAAAGGAAAAAAGGAGTTTTAAGCCTGATGATGTTAAGGATGCTGGTAACAAGTGTATCTTGGTGGTCATCTAGGTGTGGTTTTATTTACTTCACAATGTCTTGCGCTGCGTCACTGTGTGCACAGGTCTCAGCACACGTAAGATCAAGTTCATCGCTAAGCCCACGTGCATGAGCACCAGAACAGCAACCCAGCCTTTTGTCCAGAGCTTACATGCAGACCTGAGGTTGCTGTAAAGACATTTAATTCATTTCAGTTTTTCCTTGCACAAATTCATGCAAAACTTCATCACCTTAGTCTTTTCTTCTGCTTCCCCATAGAAACAATGTGACCAGCATGAGCGGATCAGATATGCTCAGCTGTGTTTTCTGAAATCCTTGCTATTTGCAGTAAAAACAGCATCCAAAAGGAAAGGATGTTCCCTAAAGGAGAAGCAGCCGCGTGGCTGGAGGAGCACAGTCAGCCCCACGTAAAGCTGGGACAGGAAGGTGCTTGGGCTTGATTTCAATAGCAGGACCTCTGTATTGCTGTGTCTGAGCACCTTTGGCAGAATTCTTTGTTCTGATCTCCCTGTCTCTTATTAGACCAGCTTGGTTTAGTTAGTAGCATCATCCTTCCAGTTTAGCGTCTTCTGAGACACCCATCAGGAGCAGAGCTGTGTCGGGCTGGGTGAGCCCGAGTGTTTCACCCATGGCTGTTCAGCAGTGATCATGAAATCCATCCTGGCCTGTTTCCATATTAACCAAGCATCCTGGAGGGTGGGTCAAGCAAAAATTGAATAGCGAGGATCTGCCTTTCTAATCATGAATAACTGCATCTATGCTTATGTGAAGGAAAGCCAGGTTCAGAAACAGAGGTTAAGACTTTATTAACCATCAGCTTCCTGACTGCTCTATTTGATGCTAAGTAATGAAGACCAAGGAGCAACAAGCACAGTCCTACGGGCAGGTGGAACTTCTCTGCAGCCCAGGGGTCTGTGCACATCTCAGCCCAGTGTAAGGCCCTGGTTGCAGCACTGCAGGCAGTGCAGAATGGCAGTGTGTGCCAAGCTGCAGCACCCAAACACTGCAGCTGGACAGCGACAAGGGCCCTGTGCTGAAGAAATACAGGCTTAGCTTTGCCCAGACCTCAGCTGGGCATTCAGGAGCGGGCGCACAGGCTGTGCCAGCTCAAGGCACGCGCTCGGGAGAGCTCTGTGACCCTCCTGAGCGCTGCTGCTGGGCACACTGAAGCAGACAGTGCCACAGGCA